AGTAAATATAACTTGATGAGTGACTAAGAAAGAAGGAAAAGACATAAGGTGAGGGTGAGGAGATATTGGGCCAAATGAAAGTAACTGGAATTGGGCCAACTGAAATATGAAGATTACATGCTAAGAAATTGATATTCAGGCCCAAAGGTAACTAAAGATGAGGACTTGAGGAGCTTGGTTTTTAAATTGAGGATGATGACATTTTGGTATTTCAGTAATGTATTTACTATTTACATGCAATCACTTATTAAAGTTACAGTTGATTTCTTTATTTAATAATAGGAGGTCAGCATTAGGAAAGTTAATAAGTAGGTGCATTTATTTACATTTGCATTTTACAACTTGACAATTACATTATTCAAAATAGAGATTTCTACACTTTTATTCATTTTAATCACATGATATAATAGTTATTAATATTTATGTCACAAGGCTTTCGGACGAATAATTAGGCCGTCGAGCCAATCTACTAAGTACACTAAAGTCGCTTGATGACATGATATTGACCTTCGGATCCAGATTGATATTATTTTTCGGGTCTTTTAGGCAGTATCCTTGTATGAGTCAACGTACGAGTCAATCTACTACCGCACTTATAATCGCGCGATTGCATTTTATTGATATAATTATCATTTGAAATAAAAAAGTCGTCTAAAATTGTGTACTGTTTTCAAAAGATGTATATATAATGCAGTTATAAAAAGTCTTAATCCATCTACAAACATTTTATTTGTTCAACTTAAATATTAATGTCACGCTTTTATTTGTTGAACAAATTTTATTTAAAATTGTCAAAGCCTTTATATTTGAATACAAAAAAATATGTTTTTTTTTTTATTTGAATTTTAACACTCAATTTAAATACAAAAAAATTATTCAATGAAAAGTCAAATATATCAAATCAAGACCAATGGAATTGCCTGCACGTCGGCCAAAACCAGCACGTCTCATCCCATGTGTATATCATCATCAACTAGTTACTAATTTTCACATATTAAATTTCATAGTTTATAGTATATAAAGTTAAGACCAAAAAAAAAAATGAGAAAATTCAAGATTGTTACGCTCTACAAGATTAGGTATGTGGCAAAAATTAAAATGACTTCTAATTATACGTCATTTATATTATCCTAGTTTTTACCTAGATTTATTTATCATGCATTATATTTTCGAATAAATATGTTAATGTCCTTTTTACTAATTGAATTTTTTTGTTCGTGTTCATAGTCCGGGCCTTATTGGTTAAACAGTCATACTTTTTTTAATAAAAGTAATAATCATACTATATGATGTTTCGAAAATTTTTCCTCTTCATTTAGCTCAAATTTCGACTGCATGCAATGTGTCAAAGTGGTTATCGACGTAAATTTATATGGCGATTAAGTCAATCAGTCGATAAGCCTGATTTATAGCCTCTTTTTGAATTAGAGAGAATGCGATGACGTACATATATTTATACTTCACTATTTATCTTTAGAATCGGCGCTAATGCAAGTTTCCTTTTTCACAGGATCTGCAAGTAACGACTAGCAAATTAAGCTCACAAAAGTGCAGTTTCGTTAACAAAAAAGAACTCGTTTGCCACTTTCTTTCTTAGCTCGACTTTCCATCAGGCGTGTGCTTAGATCGAGCATCTTGTTAGCACGGATTTCACTTACCCTAGCTATGGGTCAATATTTTATATTTGAGTATGTATCAAATATATATTGTTAATTCTTTTATTATACTAAAATTTTAATGTATGACCTTTGAGTATGAAAATATATAAAATTATTGAAAATAATATGTTTTTCAAAAGCAATATAGGGATGTCTTTTTGGTATGACAAAAATATATTGTCATCCATAAATAATTGTTAAACATAATTTAATATATGACAATATCACTAACTATTGTTTTAACTTGTCACACATATATATCTTTGACAACTTTGATGTGGAAATGTTGGAAATTTTTGTTAAAGTCCATTAATTCTTATAACTTGGTTAATCTTTAATTAAAATAGCATGATCTCATAGGATTTTTCATTAAAATCAAATTAAACTAGCATGATGGCACATAATGTTGTATTTAATTAGGAAGTAACATATGTAAGTATGCTTTGACATTTTTTTATATGTGACTAATTTATTTTCTGTCACGTTTGCAGCTGTACGAAGCTGACTGCAATTTTAATATCGAAAAATCGAATTCACCTATATCTGTTCACTCATTAAATTAGAAAATATTGCAAATGAAATATTTTAAAATAGTGCATTTAGTATCAATTTTAGGTATTTTAAAAATAGTGCATTTAGTATCAATTTTAAAATATCTGTTCAGTGTATTCATATTTGAAAGTTCAAAAAACTAGCAGAAGAAAATTAAAGCATGAGCATTAATGATACATATACATATATATGTAAATTCTTTTATACTCTAATCCATATTCAATCATGGTATTTAGCATTATAAATATATATTTTTTTCCCAAAAATTATGTCACAAATTCATGAATGAGGACTCATAATAAGTCATAATTGTTACCTGTGTCACTCGTGATACGTTTTTAACAAAAATGAATACTTATATTATGAATTCGTGCTATTTTTCTTAGTATAACATTTCAATTTAAAAGCATACATTTTTTATTTAATATATATGTGTGGATGTCAACAATCAAACTTGGTTAAGATCATTGGGTTGGGTCACCAACTAAACGTTAAAA